TTTGGAGGCACGTAATGAGGAAAGAAGGTTTGAAAAATCTGATACTCACAGGACAGATTGAGGGAAAGAGGAAAGCAACTCGTAACATACTCTTGATGAGCTTGATTAAATGGGTGGTTGAAAACGTTTCGGAGAAATAACAAAAAGACAAAACTTATTAAGAGCTACAACGGTAGGAAGATGTGGAGGGCCATGATCGCCCATGTTCTGAAGGGACACAGCATATAAAAGAAGTTCGAATCTTACTGTAAAAAAAGTTTTACAAAGTAACCTATAGCTCGAGGTGAAGAGGTGAATTAATACTTTTTGCAGTATATATATATATATATATATATATATATATATATATATATATATATATATATATAATTACATGAATCATTCATACAAAAAACAACTTTCGGATAATAAGTGTGACATTTCTGTAATTATTGAACAATATAGTTCATGCCACATTGACGGAAAACCTACCAGTACAAAAGAATTCTCTTATTACTATATTTGTACAAAAACGCACAACCTTATAATTTAACATTCAAACTCAGCGTTGCGACCGCACGTTCCAAAATAACAACACATTTCTCATAGCATTTTTTCGGATTGCATCTCTATTTTCGTTGTCCTCTTATTACCGAGAAGTAAAAAACAAGAACAAATCTATTTCCATATCTGAGGATGTCTGTAGGAGCAGACGAAAACTTGTAAAAACTAAAAAAGACCTTATGAAACTGGAATTTATAAACAGGGATCATATCATTCATATACAGGTTCGAGGTTAGTGTAACTTATTGAAATTGTTTGCGAAGATGTATTCTCGCCATTTAAATCATTAACCTCTATATTTGTTTTTTTGTATGAATGATTCATGTAATTATAAATTGAACAGCACCTATAATCGAAATATATATATATAGATAATATTAGTGGAAAATATACATACATATGAAAAATATATCTAAAAAAATTTCCATACATGTATATTTTCAGAAAAAATTTTTTCCAAGAGGAAGGATCCAGGTAAAACTCAATGTCTAGGACAGAGTAAGGATATAATAAAAAGGCTTAAACACTAATATTCCATGGAATATTAGTGTTTTTTTATATATATATATATATATATATATATATATATATATATATATATATATATATAATAGTTAATAGTCAGAGTTTAATAAGACCAGGAAACAGTAGTATTAAAATGCGCTCAATTTATACACGTATAAAAAAAATAACATCTACCTTCCTCTCACTTACTTCCCTGCTAACTTTATTTTTATGTGTCATGTCCTTTCAGGACATAAGTGATCATGGCTCTCTCTCTCTCTCTCTCTCACTCTCTCTCTCTCTCTCTCTCTCTCTCTCTCTCACTCTCTTGCAACTCTCAACAAGTTCCTTCTCTCTGCTATCTCCCCCATCCACCTGCTTAAGCCTGCTAGCCATGTCATGCATTGCTTTCCCTTGTCTCTCTTTCCCTCTGTTCGACCCGTGAGTATCAGATTACCCAGGCCCTCCTTCCTCATTATGTGTCCCAGAAACTTCAGCTGCCTCTTCCTGATTTTAAGTATAAGCTTCCTCCTTGTTTGCAACCTCTCTAAGATTTCATCGTTGCTAACACGCTCGCTCCATAATATACTTAGCATCCTTCTGTAGAACCACATCTCCGTCGCCTCGAGTCTCTTCTTCATCTTTGAGGAAATCGTCCAACATTCGCTGCCGTGAAGAAGAACAGATGTCGCGTAACAGATCAGTATTGTTTTGTTACCACAATCTTCAAAAATGTTAATGCAACGTCAATCGCTATCTTCTGTTGTCTTGATCCCTGTCTTTTTTTCTTTCCTCAATCACCTCCACACCCACTTTTTTCTCTTACTTTCATTCTCAGGACCACTTACGTACTAGGGGCACCCCTACCTTGCTTGGGGTGAAATGCTTATAAAAAAGATAAAAAGAAAAAATATGGAAGGACTTTAAAAGAGGTGGGGCATAAAACCAAACTGGAATTTAAACCTCAAATAAAACAATAAATAAAAAACAATTCAAGGAAAAGGAAAAAAATATTATTTGGTTTAACCCCCTTTTAACTTAGGGGTCAAATGTAAAATATTTTTCAAATTACTTAAACAATTTCCCCAAAATTCCGAATTACATAAAATATTTAATAAAAACACAGTTAAATTAAGCTATAGTTGTACTAGTAATTTAGAACCCACAATAAAAAACAAAACGCCAGAAATTTCAAAACTAACATGCAGCAAAACATCGTTAAAAGTGAAATATGCAACTGTAGAAATAAAAGTAGATATCCATTAGATGGAGTTTGCAAAACTGAAGCAGTAACTTACAAAGCAGAAGTAATACAAATATACATAGGGTGTACTGAATGAAGGTTTAAGAAGATGTGGTATAATCACAATCATCATTCAAGTTAGAGTCTTAGGAATTCTACCAGACAAGCCAACCATGTGTGGAAATTAAAATAAATAACATAGATCTGATTGTAAACTGGAAATTTTTTTTATAAAAAGACACATCTTACAACAATCGTAGAAATATCTGCAACATTTGTCAACAAGAAAAGTTAGCAATAATATTTCCAACTCAAATAAAACCTTTTGAATAAGAGATCGGAAATTATGACTCGTTGCATACACACTAAAAAGTTCCTTTTCAGTTCATATGAACCAGAATGAAAAGAAAGCATGTATATTTCATTTAACCTCTCACTGATACATTTCCAATACCCTTGCTTTTCTCCTCCTCTTCCTCCTCCCCTTCTATCACACTTCACATCGTGCGTTTATTTATTTATCTTTAAATAATAAGCGTTCATTAAAAAAAAATACAGCGTTAGGAAATCAATTGATAGAATCGCCTGATGATACCGAAAGGATGAAAACCAAAAAAGTGGAATTTATATTTAATTTATTTTATATATATATATATATTTGAATATAAAATATATACGAAAAAACATTATTTTGTCACAAAAAACAAACCTTATTTTAAGTATGCAAAATCCTCCTGTTTAATGTTTCATTAATATGTCAACGTTATTTGCGTTTTCCAATCCCAATAAATTCCATCTTCTCAGGACATATTCCCAAAAAAATTATTATTCATCTTAAATTTCATTTTCTATAGATCTTTTGGTTTTATGGTCTTATGTTTTCGTCTTTGTCATGTTGAGTTGTTTCATTTAATTATATTTTAAAATATGTCCTGAAGTATGGTTTAGCGTCCCTATTCCGTTTGTAACCTTGACATTACAAGTGTTTACATTAAAACAGCATTTTATGCATATTTTTTTTCAACAATTGTAAACTTGCTTTTTTGATTATTATTTAATCGGTACCATTAATGCAAAATATCCATTTATTTACTTTACAAATTCATGAGATCTCAATATATTTTGCCAACAACCCATATACCGTGTTTGTGCAATGTTAAATTTGAGGTGAATGTTTTTCAACGAATCGTCAACTGCAGGATAAACTGTTTGACCTAAGGGTTAAACTGTTTTTTCCTTATAACCCCTTCTTGTTTTTATTTTTTGTTTTCAGTTCGTCAGGACGAAACTTGATATTTTGATAAGGTAATTTTTTTCTAGTGGAACATAATTAATTTAAACATTATTTTGTTTTTCAAAAAAATATTTTTTATGTGTAAACGGAATGGTAGACAAAAAATTTTTTGGACAAAGTCACTAAGAAGCCGGAAGAATTTATAATCATTAATTATTTGAAAGGTTGGTTTGTTCTTTCTTAAATTTAATTCTTCAATTCTTCCGGTCTTGTTCTTCTTTTGATTTTTAAAGTCTCTTAGGTAAAGAAATTTTGATTACACAGAACAAATTTACAAAAATAAGACTTGGTGGAAAAAAAAAAAAAGTAAAAAAACTTTGTGAAATTATCCTTCTTTGTTGCCCGTGGGGATTCAATTTTCAACCATTTTTAAATTTGGCAGGATATTTTTTCTTCTTTCAGGAATTTCTTTCATTTTGTAATTTCTTCAGATAGTTCTTCAACAAGGCTTCCTTTTTTTTTGTTCTTCTCCAATCCTGGGAATTTCTTTCTATTCTTTCGAAATTTACCGGTTTTTGAAAGAAGCGTTGTTCTTCTTTTGTTCTTTCAGGACGGGGTTCTTTCTGGATTTTCATTTCTCCCCTCCGAAATTAAGTTGTTCTTCTTTTTGTTCTTTCTGAAATTTAAAAACTTCTTCTTTCTGAAATTTAAGTTGTTCTTTTTTTTGTTCTTTCAAAATGTTGTTCTTTTTTGATTTTCTGCAATTAAGTTTGTTCTTCAAACGATTGTTCTTTTTTAATTCTTTCTGAAAACATAGTTTTTTGTTCTTTCGATTTTTTTCTTCAACTTTCTGAGATTTAAGTTTCTTTTCGTTCTTTCTGTTTAAAACCGTTTCTTAACACGTTCTTTCTGAAATTTTTGTTCTTTTTTGTTCAAAACGCCCTGTTCTTCTCTTTTTGTTCTTTCTTCTGTTTAAGTTGTTCTTCTTTTTTGTTTCTTTCTTTTAAGTTGTTCTTCTTTTGAGGATTGCAAAAGAAGTTCGCTCTTTTTTTGTTCTTTCTGTCAAAGTTGAAGCTTTTTTTGTTCTTTCTGAAACATTGAAAATGAAATGAAACTAATTTTTTTGTTCTTTCTGAACATTTAAGTTGTTCTTCTTTCCTCTTTCTGAAATTTACACACACTTCTTTTTTACTTTCGAAATTTAAATCTTCTTTTGTTCTTTCTTTCATTTAAGTTCTTCTTTTTTTTTCTTTTCTGATAGAAAGAGAGATTTTTGTTCGAAATTTAAGTTGTTAATCTTTTTTCTTTCTGGTGTTGTTCTTCTTTTTGTTCTTTCTGAATTTAAGTTAGCTTTCAGATTTCTGAAATTTTCCGTTGTTCTTCTTTTTTGTTCTTTCGAAAAGATAAGTTGTTTCTTCTTTTGTTCTTTCTTGAAATTTAAATGTTCTTCTTTTTTTGATCTTTCTGAAATTTAATATGTTTTCTTTTGTTCTTTCTGTTTAAGTTGTTTTTTAATTGAAATTTCTTATTTCTTCTTTTTGTTCTTTCTGAAATTTAATATTTTTTTTTTGTTCCTTTAAAATGTTCTTCTTTTATTTCTTTTTTAAGTTGTTCTTTTTTTTTTTCTTTCTAGAAATTTAAGTTTGTTCTTTTTTGTTCTTTCTGAAATTTAAGTTCTTCTTTTTGTTCTTTCTTTTAGTTGTTCTTTCTGGAATTTAAGTTGTTCTTCTTTTTGTTCTTTCTAAAAATTTAAGTTTTCTTATTTTGTTGTTTTCTTTTTTGTTTTTCACTGAAATTTAAGTTGTTCTTCTTTTGTTTTAAACTATTAATTTGTTCTTCTTTTTGTTCTTTCTAAATTTGTTGTTCTTCTTTTTTTCTGAAATTTAAGTTGTTCTTCTTTTTTTAATTTCTAAATTTTTTGTTCTTTTTTGAAATTTACAGTTCTTCTTTTTTTTTTTTGTTCTTTCTGAAATTTTTCAGTTGTTTCTTCTTTTTGTTCTTTCTGAAATTTAAGTTGTTCTTCTTTTGTTCTTTCTGTTCTTCTTTTGTTCTTTCTGAAATTTGTAATTTTCATTGAAATATTTTGTTCTTCTGAAAATTTAAGTTGTTTTTCTTTTTTGTTCTTTCTGAATTTAAGTTGTTCTTCTTTTGTTCTTTCTGAAATTTCTTCTTTTTGTTCTTTTGTTCTTTTTTGGAAATTTAAGTTTGTTCTTCTTTTGTTCTTTTTCTTTTTTTTGTTCTTTTTTTGTTCTTTTCTGAAATTTAAGTTCTTCTTTTTTTGTTCTTTCTGAAATTTAAAAACAACTTCTTTTTTTTTTTCTTTCCAAATTTAAGTTGTTCTTCTTTTTGTTCTTTCTGAAATTTAAGTTGTTCTTCTTTTTGTTCTTTCTGAAATTTGGGTGTTCTTTTTTTTGTTCTTTCTGAAATTTGTTGTTCTTCTTTTTGTTCTTTCTGAAATTTCCTGTTCTTCTTTTTAATTTCTTTCTGAAATTTAAGTTGTTCTTCTTTTTTGTTCTTTCTGAAATTTAAGTTGTTCTTCTTTTGTTCTTTCTGAAATTTAAGTTGTTTTTTGAACTTTCTTCTGAAATTTAAGTTGTTCTTTTTTGTTCTTTCTGAAATTTAAGTTGTTCTTCTTTTTGTTTTTCTGAAGAATTTAAATTCTTCTTCTTTTTGTTAATTTAGAAATTTAAGTTCTTCTTTTTGTTCTTTCTGAAATTTAATTGTTCTTCTTTTTTTTTTTTCTTCTTTGCATTTAAATTCTGAAATTTAAGTTGTTCTTCTTTTTGTTCTTTCTGAAATTTAAGTTGTTCTTCTTTTGTTCTTTCTGAAATTTAAGTTGTTCTTCTTTTTGTTCTTCAAAACTGTTGTTCGTCTTTTGTTCTTTCTGAACATTTAAAAAAAAACTGAAATTGATGTTCTTCTTTTTTGTTCTTTACTGAAATTTAAGTTGTTCTTCTTTTTTGTTCTTTCTGAATTTTAGTTGTTCTTCTTTTTTGTTCTTCTTGAAAAAGCCAGTTCTTTTGTTTTTCTCAGAAATTTAAGTTGTTCTTCTTTTTGTTCTTTCTGAAATTTAAGCAGTTCTTCTTTTGTTCTTTCTGAAATTTAAGTTGTTCTTCTTTTTGTTCTTTCTGAAATTTAAAATGTTCTTCTTTTGTTCTTTCTTTTGTTCTTTAATTTGTTCTTCTTGTTGTTCTTTCTGAAATTTAAGTTGTTCTTCTTTTTGTTCTTTCTGAAATTTAAGTTCTTCTTCTTTTTTGTTCTTTCTGAAATTTAAGTTGTTCTTCTTTTTGTTCTTTCTGAAATTTAAGTTGTTCTTCTTTTTGTTTAAGTTCTTTTTTTATTCTTTCTGAAATTTGTTGTTCTTTTTTTGTTCTTTCTGAAATTTAAGTTGTTCTTCTTTTTTGTTCTTTCTGAAATTTAAGTTGTTCTTTTTTGTTCTTTTGAGAAATTCTAAGTTCTTCTTTTTGTTTAAGTTGTTCTTCTTTTTGAAATTTAAGTTGTTCTTCTTTTTTTTGTTCTTTCTGAAATTTAAGTTGTTCTTTTGTTCTTTCTGAAATTTAAGTTGTTCTTTTTTTTCTTTTTTTAAGTTCTTCTTTTGTTCTTTCTGAAATTTAATTCTTCTTTTTTGTTCTTTCTTTTAAGTTACTTTTGTTCTTTCTGAAATTTAAGTTGTTCTTCTTTTTGTTCTTTTTCTGAAATTTAAGTTCTTCTTTTTGTTCTTTTTCTTTTGTTCTTCTTTTGTTCTTTCTGAAATTTAAGTTGTTCTTTCTTTATATTGTTCTTTTTTGTTCTTTCTGAAATTTAAGTTGTTCTTCTTCTTTTTATTCTTTCTAAATTTAAGTTGTTCTTCTTTTTGTTCTTTCTTTTAAGTTCTTCTTTTTGTTTTTCTGAAATTTAAGTTGTTCTTCTTTTTGTTCTTTCTAAATTTAAGTTCTTCTTTTTTTGTTCTTTCTGAAATTTAGTTCTTCTTTTTTTTCTTTCTGAAATTCTTTAGTTTGTTCTTTCTTAATTCTTCTTTGTTCTTCTTTTTTGTTCTTTTTTGTTCTTTCCTGAAGTTGTTCTTCTTTTGTTCTTTCTGAAATTTAAGTTCTTCTTTTTTGTTCTTTCTGAAATTTAAGAAGATCTTTTTCTTTTTTGTTCTTTCTAAGGAAATTTTTCTTCTTTTGTTCTTTCTGAAATTTTTCTTCTTTTTTGTTCTTTGGATTGTTCTTCTTTTGTTCTTTCTGAAATTTGTTGTTCTTCTTTTGTTCTTTCCATTTAAAGTTGTTCTTCTTTTGTTCTTTCTGAAATTTAAGTTGTTCTTCTTTTTTCTTTCTGAAATTTAAGTTCTTCTTTGTCTCTTTCTGAAATTTAAACAATTCTTCTTTTTGTTCTTTCTGAAATTTAAGTTTATTTCTTCTTTTTGTTCTTTCTGAAATTTAAAGTTGTTCTTCTTTTTTGTTCTTTCTGAAAATTTAGTTCTTCTTTTGTTTTAAGTTCTTCTTTTTGTTCTTTCTGGAAATTTAAGTTCTGAAATTTAGGGATTCTTCTTTTTGTTCTTTCTGAAATTTAAGTTGTTCTTCTTTTTGTTCTTTCTGAAATTTAAGTTCTTTTTTGTTCTTTCTGTTTTCTTCTTTTTGTTCTTTCTGAAATTTAAGTTGTTCTTCTTTTTGTTCTTTCTGAAATTTAAGTTGTTCTTCTTTTTGTTCTTTCTGAAATTTAAGTTCTTCTTTTTGTTCTTTCTAAATCAATTGTTCTTCTTTTTGTTCTTTCTGAAATTTAAGTTGTTCTTCTTTTTGTTCTTTCTGAAATTTAAGTTGTTCTTCTTTTTGTTCTTTCTGAAATTTAAGTTCTTCTTTTTTGTTCTTTCTGAAATTTAAGTTCTTCTTTTTTGTTTATTTGAAATTTAAGTTGTTCTTCTTTTTGTTCTTTCTGAAATTTAAGTTCTTCTTTTTGTTCTTTCTGAAATTTAAGTTGTTCTTCTTTTTGTTCTTTCTGAAATTTAAGTTGTTCTTCTTTTTGTTCTTTCTGAAATTTAAGTTGTTCTTCTTTTTGTTCTTTCTGAAATTTAAGTTGTTTCTTTTTTGTTCTTTCTGAAATTTAAGTTGTTCTTCTTTTGTTCTTTTCTTTCTGAAATTTAAGTTCTTCTTCTTTTGTTCTTTCTGAAATTTAAGTTGTTCTTCTTTTTGTTCTTTCTGAAATTTAATTGTTCTTCTTTTTTGTTCTTTCTGAAATTTAAGTTGTTCTTCTTTTTCTTTTGTTCTTCTTTTGTTCTTTCACAAATTTATGTTGTTCTTCTTTTTTGTTCTTTCTGAAATTTAAATTTAAGTTGTTCTTCTTTTGTTCTTTCTGAAATTTCTTCTTCTTTTTTTGTTTTTTGTTGTTCTTCTTTTGTTCTTTCTGAAATTTAAGTTGTTCTTCTTTTTTTCTTTCTGAAATTTAAGTTCTTCTTTTTGTTCTTTTCTGAAATTTAAGTTGTTCTTCTTTTGTTCTTTCTGAAATTTAAGTTCTTCTTTTTGTTTCTTTCTGGAAATTTAAGTTGTTCTTCTTTTGTTCTTTCTGAAATTTAAGTTGTTCTTCTTTTTTGTTCTTTTCTAGAAATTTAAAGTTGTTCTTTTTTTGTTCTTTCTGAAATTTAAGTTGTTCTTCTTTTTTGTTCTTTCTGAAATTTAAGTTGTTCTTTTTTGTTCTTTCTGAAATTTAAGTTGTTTCTTCTTTTTGTTTCTGAAATTCTTGTTCTTCTTTTTGTTCTTTCTGAAATTTGAGATTGTTCTTCTTTTTTGTTCTTTTTTTAAGTTCTTTTTGTTCTTTTTGTTCTTTTTTGATACTGAAATTTAAGTTGTTCTTCTTTTTGTTCTTTCTGAAATTTAAGTTCTTCTTTTGTTCTTTCTGAAATTTAAGTTGTTCTTTTTTTCTTCTTTCTAAATTTAAGTTGTTCTTCTTTTTGTTTTTCTGAAATTTGCTGTTCTTCTTTTGTTCTTTCTGAAATTCAAGTTCTTCTTTTGTTCTTTCTGAAATTTAAGTTGTTCTTCTTTTTTCTTTCTGTTCTTTTTTTGTTCTGAAATTTAAGTTGTTCTTCTTTTTGTTCTTTCTGAAATTTAAACTTTTTTGTTCTTTCTTTTAAGTTGTTCTTCTTTGAAATTTTTCTGAAGTTGTTCTTCTTTTTGTTCTTTCTGAAATTTAAGTTGTTCTTCTTTTTGTTCTTTCTGAAATTTAAGTTGTTCTTCTTTTTGTTCTTTCTGAAATTTAAGTTGTTCTTTCTTTTTTGTTCTTTTTTTGTTCTTTCTGAAATTTAAGTTCTTCTTTTGTTCTTTTTAAGTTGTTCTTCTTTTTCTTTTTTTAAGTTGTTCTTCTTTTTGTTCTTTCTGAAATTTAAGTTGTTCTTCTTTTTGTTCTTTCTGAAATTTAAGTTCTTCTTTTTGTTCTTTCTGAAATTTAAGTTGTTCTTCTTTTTGTTCTTTCTGAAATTTAAGTTGTTCTTCTTTTTGTTCTTTCTGAAATTTAAGTTGTTCTTCTTTTTGTTCTTTCTGAAATTTAAGTTGTTCTTCTTTTTTATTTCTTTTTCTGAAATTTAAGTTGTTTTTTTTTTGTTCTTTTGTTTTTTTTGTTCTGAAATTTAAGTTGTTCTTCTTTTGTTCTTTCTGAAATTTAAGTTGTTCTTTTTTGTTCTTTCTGAAATTTAAGTTGTTCTTTTTTGTTCTTTCTGTTATTCTTCTTTTTTTTCTTTCTGAAATTTAAGTTGTTCTTCTTTTGTTTCTTTCTGAAATTTAAGTTGTTCTTCTTTTTTTATTCTTTCTGAAATTTAAGTTCTTCTTCTTTGTTCTTTCTGAAATTTAAGTTGTTCTTCTTTTTGTTCTTTCTGAAATTTAAGTTCTTCTTCTTTTTTGTTCTTTGTTCTGAAATTTAAGTTGTTCTTCTTTTTGTTCTTTTTATAAATTTAAGTTGTTTCTTCTTTTGTTCTTTCTGAAATTTAAGTTGTTCTTCTTTTTGTTCTTTTGTTTAAGTTTCTTCTTTTGTTCTTTCTGAAATTTAAGTTCTTCTTTTTGTTCTTTCTGAAATTTGTTGTTCTTCTTTTGTTCTTTTTTAAGTTGTTCTTCTTTTTGTTCTTTCAAAATTTAAGTTCTTCTTTTTGTTCTTTCTGAAATTTAAGTTCTTCTTTTTGTTCTTTTGTTCTTCTTTTGTTCTTTCTGAAATTTAAGTTGTTCTTCTTTTGTTCTTTTGAAATTTAATTTGTTCTTCTTTTGTTCTTTCTAAAAAGTTGTTCTTCTTTTTGTTCTTTCAAAATTTGTTGTTCTTCTTTTTGTTCTTTCTGAAATTTAAGTTGTTTCTTCTTTTTTGTTCTTTCTGAAATTTAAGTTCTTCTTTTTGTTCTTTCTGAAATTTAAGTTGTTCTTCTTTTTGTTCTTTCTGAAATTTAAGTTGTTCTTCTTTTTGTTCTTTCTGAAATTTAAGTTGTTCTTTTTGTTCTTTCTGAAATTTAAGTTGTTCTTCTTTTTTGTTTCTGAAATTTAAGTTGTTCTTCTTTTTGTTCTTTTTTGTTCTGTTCTTTTTGTTCTTTCTTTTAAGTTGTTCTTTCTGAAATTTAAGTTGTTCTTCTTTTTTTGTTCTTTCTGAAATTTAAGTTGTTCTTCTTTTGTTCTTTCTGAAATTTAAGTTGTTCTTCTTTTTGTTCTTTCTGAAATTTAAGTTGTTCTTCTTTTGTTCTTTTTGTTCTGAAATTTAAGTTGTTCTTCTTTTGTTCTTTCTGAAATTTAATTTCTTCTTTTTTTTTCTTTCTGAAATTTAAGTTGTTCTTCTTTTTGTTCTTTCTGAAATTTAGTTGTTCTTCTTTTTTGTTCTTTCTACTGAAATTAAGTTGTTCTTCTTTTTGTTCTTTCTGAAATTTAAGTTGTTCTTCTTTTTGTTCTTTCTGAAATTTAAGTTGTTCTTTTTTGTTCTTTTTCTGAAATTTAAGTTCTTTTTTTGTTCTTTTCATTTAAGTTGTTCTTCTTTTTTGTTCTTTTTCTGAAATTTAAGTTGTTCTTCTTTTTTCTTTTTCTGAAATTTGCAGTTGTTCTTTTTTTGTTCTTTCTGAAATTTTTAGTTGTTCTTCTTTTTATTCTTTCTGAAATTTAAGTTGTTCTTCTTTTTGTCTTTCTGAAATTTAAGTTGTTCTTCTTTTTGTTTCTTTCTGAAATTTAAGTTCTTCTTTTTTTGTTCTTTCTGAAATTTAAGTTGTTCTTCTTTTTGTTCTTTCTAGAAATTTAAATTTGTTCTTCTTTTGTTCTTTCTGAAATTTAAGTTGTTCTTCTTTTTGTTCTTTCTGAAATTTAAGTTGTTCTTCTTTTTGTTCTTTCTGAAATTTAAGTTCTTCTTTTTGTTCTTTCTGAAATTTAAGTTGTTCTTCTTTTTGTTCTTTCTGAAATTTAAGTTGTTCTTCTTTTTGTTCTTTCTGAAATTTAGTTGTTCTTCTTTTTGTTTCTTTCTGAAATTTAAGTTGTTCTTCTTTTTGTTCTTTCTTTCTGAAATTTAAGTTCTTCTTTTTTTGTTCTTTCTGAAATTTAAGTTGTTCTTCTTTTTGTTCTTTCTGAAATTAAGTTCTTCTTTTGTTCTTTCTGAAATTTAAGTTGTTCTTCTTTTTTGTTCTTTTTTGTTCTGAAATTTAAGTTGTTTCTTCTTTTTGTTCTTTCTGAAATTTAAGTTCTTCTTTTTTTCTTCTTTCTGAAATTTAAGTTGTTCTTCTTTTTGTTCTTTCTGAAATTTAAGTTGTTCTTCTTTTGTTCTTTCTGAAATTTAAAGTTCTTCTTTTTTTGTTCTTTCTGAAATTTAAGTTGTTCTTCTTTTGTTTCTTTCTGAAATTTAAGTTGTTCTTCTTTTGTTCTTTCTGAAATTTAAGTTCTTTTTTGTTCTTCTTTTTTGTTCTTTCTGAAATTTAAGTTGTTCTTCTTTTGTTCTTTCTGAAATTTAAGTTGTTCTTCTTTTTGTTCTTTCTGAAATTTAAGTTCTTCTTTTTTGTTCTTTCACTGAAATTTAAGTTGTTTCTTCTTTTTAAATTTAAGTTCTTCTTTTTTTGTTCTTTTGTTTAAGATTCTTTCTTTTTGTTCTTTCTATGAAATTTAAGTTGTTCTTCTTTTTATTTCTTTCTAGAATTTAAGTTCTTCTTTTTGTTCTTTCTGAAATTTAAGTTGTTCTTCTTTGTTCTTCTTTTTGTTCTTTCTGAAATTTAAGTTGTTCTTTTTTTGTTCTTTCTGAAATTCAAGTTGTTCTTCTTTTTGTTCTTTCTGAAAAAGTTGTTCTTCTTTTATTTCTTCTTTTTTCTTCTTTTGTTCTGAAATTTTGTTCTTCTTCTTTTGTTCTTTCTGAAATTTAAGTTGTTCTTCTTTTGTTCTTTCTGTTTAAGTTGATATGCTTTTTGTTCTTTCTGAAATTTAAGTTTGTTCTTCTTTTTGTTCTTTCTGAAATTTAAGTTGTTCTTCTTTTGTTCTTTTCTGAAATTTAAGTTCTTCTTTGTTCTTTCCTAAATTTAAGTTGTTCTTCTTTTTTGTTCTTTCGAAATTTAAGTTGTTCTTCTTTTTGTTCTTTCTGAAATTTTAAGTTCTTCTTTTGATTTTCTGAAATTTAAGTTGTTCTTCTTTTTTGTTCTTTCTGAAATTTGTTGTTCTTTTTTTGTTCTTTCTGAAATTTAAGTTTTTCTTCTTTTTGTTCTTTCTGATTTAAGTTCTTCTTTTTTGTTCTTTCTGAAATTTAAGTTGTTCTTCTTTTTTGTTCTTTCTGAAATTTAAGTTGTTCTTCTTTTGTTCTTTCTGAAATTTAAGTTGTTCTTTTTGTTCTTTCTGAAATTTAAGTTGTTCTTCTTTTTTGTTCTTTCTGAAATTTTTGTTCTTCTTTTTGTTCTTTCTGAAATTTGTGTTCTTTTGTTCTCTGAAATTTAAGTTTGTTTCTTCTTTTTGTTCTTCTTTTTGTTCTTTCTGAAATTTAAGTTCTTCTTTTTGTTCTTCTGAAATTTTTGTTCTTCTTTTGTTCTTTCGAAATTTAAGTTGTTCTTCTTTTTGTTCTTTCTAGGAATTAAGTTTGTTCTTTCTGAAATTTAAGTGTTCTTCTTTTGTTCTTTCTGAAATTTGTTCTTTTTTGTTCTTTCTGAAATTTAAGTTCTTCTTTTTGTTCTTTTTGTTCTTCTTTGTTTTCTGAAATTTAGGTTGTTCTTCTTTTTGTTCTTTCTGAAATTTAGTTGTTCTTCTTTTTTGTTCTTTTCTGAAATTTCAAGTTGTTCTTCTTTTGTTCTTTCTGAAATTTAAGTTCTTCTTTTTTGTTCTTTCTGAAATTTAGGATTCTTCTTTTGTTCTTTCTGAAATTTAAGTTGTTCTTTTTTTGTTCTTTCTGAATTCAGTTCTTTTTGTTCTTTTGAAATTTTCTTTTTGTTCTTTCAAATTGGTTCTTCTTTTTGTTTCTTTCTGAAATTTAAGTTGTTTCTTCTTTGTTCTTTCTGAAATTTAAGTTGTTCTTCTTTTTGTTTCTTTAAGTTGTTCTTCTTTTGTTCTTTCTGAAATTTAAGTTGTTCTTCTTTTTGTTCTTTCTGAAATTTAAGTTGTTCTTCTTTTTTGTTTCTTTCTGAAATTTAGGTTGTTCTTCTTTTTGTTCTTTCTGAAATTTAAGTTCTTCTTTGTTCTTTCTGAAATTTAAGTTGTTCTTCTTTTTTGTTCTTTCTGAAATTTAAGTTGTTCTTCTTTTGTTCTTTCTGAAATTTGTTCTTCTTTTGTTCTTTCTGAAATTTGTTCTTTTTTTGTTCTTTCTGAAATTTGTTGTTCTTTCTTTTAAGTTGTTTCTTCTTTTGTTCTTTCTGAAATTTAAGTTCTTCTTTTTGTTCTTTCTGAGAATTTAAGTTATTTCTTCTTTTTGTTCTCTTTTAAGTTCTTTGTTCTTTCTGAAATTTAAGTTGTTCTTCTTTTGTTCTTTGTTCTTTTTTGTTCTTTCTGAAATTTAAGTTCTTCTTTGTTCTTCTTGTTCTTTCTAATTTGAAATTTAAGTTGTTCTTCTTTGTTCTTTCTGAAATTTAAGTTGTTCTTCTTTTGTTCTTTCTGAAATTTAAGTTGTTCTTTGTTCTTCTTTTTGTTCTTTCTGAAATTTAAGTTGTTCTTCTTTTGTTCTTTCTGAAATTTAGTTGTTCTTCTTTTGTTCTTTCTGAAATTTAAGTTGTTTTCTTCTTTTGTTCTTTCTGAAATTTAAGTTGTTCTTCTTTTTTATTCTTTTCTGAAATTTAAAGTTGTTTCTTCTTTTGTTCTTTCTGAAATTTGGTTCTTCTTTTTTTGTTCTTTCTGAAATTTAAGTTTCTTCTTTTTTGTTCTTTTCTGAAATTTAAAATTTAAGTTGTTCTTCTTTTTATTCTTTCTGAAATTTAAGTTCTTTTTTGTTCTTTCTGAAATTTAAGTTGTTCTTCTTTTTTGTTTCTTTCTGAAATTTAAGTTCTTCTTTTGTTCTTTCTGAAATTTAAGTTTTTCTTCTTTTTTGTTCTTTCTGAAATTTAAGTTCTTCTTTTGTTCTTTCTAGAATTTAAGTTGTTTGCTTCTTTTATTTCTTTCTTTAAATTTAAGTTCTTCTTTTTTTGTTGTTCTTTTTTGTTCTTTCTGAAATTTAAGTTGTTCTTCTTTTTGTTCTTTCTGAAATTTTAAGTTGTTCTTCTTTTTTGTTCTTTCTGAATTTAAGTTCTTCTTTTTGTTCTTTCTGAAATTAAGTTGTTCTTCTTTTTGTTCTTCTGAAATTTTAAGTTCTTCTTTTTTTGTTCTTTCTGAAATTTAAGTTGTTCTTCTTTTGTTCTTCTGAATTTAAGTTCTTCTTTTTGTTTTCTAGAAATTTTTGTTCTTCTTTGTTCTTTCATTTGTTGTTCTTCTTTTGTTCTTCTGAAATTTAAGTTCTTCTTTTGTTCTTTCTGAAATTTAAGTTGTTCTTCTTTTTGTTCTTTCTGAAATTTAAGTTCTTCTTTTTTGTTCTTTCTTTTAAGTTTGTTCTTCTTTTTGTTCTTTCTGAAATTTAAGTTTTGTTCTTTCTGAAATTTAAGTTCTTCTTTTGAAAATTAAGTTGTTCTTTTTGTTCTTTCAAATTTAAGTTCTTCTTTGTTCTTTCAGAAATTTGTTGTTCTTCTTTTGTTCTTTCTGGAAATTTAAGTTGTTTTTCTTTTTGTTCTTTTCTGAAATTTGTTGTCTCTTCTTTTTTGTTCTGTTGAAATTCTGTTGTTCTTCTTTGTTCTTCTACTTTAAGTTTTCTTCTTTTTTGTTCTTTCTGAAATTTAAGTTGTTCTTCTTTTTGTTCTTTCTGAAATTTTGTTCTTCTTTTGTTCTTTCTGAAATTTAAGTTGTTCTTCTTTTTTGTTCTTTCTGAAATTTAAGTTGTTCTTTTTTGTTCTTTCTGAAATTTAAGTTGTTCTTTCTGGAAATTTAAGTTGTTCTTTTTTTGTTCTTTCTGAAATTTAAGTTGTTCTTCTTTTTTGTTCTTTCTGAAATTTAAGTTGTTTCTTCTTTTTTGTTCTTTCTGAAATTTAAGTTGTTCTTCTTTTTGTTCTTTCTGAATTTAAGTTCTTCTTTTTTGTTCTTTCTGAAATTTGTTGTTCTTCTTTTTTGTTCTTTCTGAAATTTAAGTTTGTTTCTTCTTTTTGTTCTTTTCTGAAATTTAAGTTCTTCTTTTTGTTCTTTCTTTTAAGTTGTTCTTTTTTTCTTTCTTTCTGAAAGTTTTGTTCTTCTTTTTTGTGTTGTTCTTCTTTTTTGTTCTTTCCTGAAATTAAGTTCTTCTTTTGTTCTTTCTGAAATTTAAGTTGTTCTTCTTTTGTTCTTTCTGAAATTTAAGTTCTTTTTTGTTCTTTCTGAATTTAAGTTGTTCTTCTTTTTGTTTCTTTTTGTTTTCTGAAATTTAAGTTGTTCTTTTTTTGTTCTTTCTGAAATTTAGTTGTTCTTCTTTTTTTTCTGAAGTTCTTCTTTTGTTCTGAAATTTCAAGTTGTTCTTCTTTTGTTCTTTCTGAAATTTAAGTTCTTCTTTTTTGTTCTTTCTTTTGTTCTTTTGTTCTTTCTGAAATTTAAGTTGTTCTTCTTTTTGTTCTTTCTAGAATTTAAGTCTTCTTTTTGTTCTTTTTTTAAGTTCTTTTTTTGAAATTTTAAGTTGTTCTTCTTTTTTGCTCTTTCTGAAATTTAAGTTGTTCTTCTTTTTTTTCTGTTTAAGTTTTCTGAAATTTAAGTTGTTCTTCTTTTGTTCTTTCTGAAATTTAAGTTGTTTCTTCTTTTTGTTCTTTCTGAAATTTAAGTTCTTCTTTTTGTTCTTTCTGAAATTTAAGTTGTTCTTCTTTTTGTTCTTTCTGAAATTTAAGTTCTTCTTTTTGTTCTTTCTGAAATTTAAGTTGTTCTTCTTTTTGTTCTTTCTGAAATTTAAGTTCTTCTTTTTTGTTTTTCTGAAATTTAAGTTCTTCTTCTTTTGTTCTTTCTGAAATTTAAGTTGTTCTTCTTTTTGTTCTTTCTGAAATTTAAGTTCTTCTTTTGTTCCTTTCTGAAATTTAAGTTGTTCTTCTTTTTGTTCTTTCTGAAATTTAAGTTCTTCTTTTTGTTCTTTCTGAAATTTAAGTTGTTCTTCTTTTTGTTCTTTCTGAAATTTAAGTTCTTCTTTTTGTTCTTTCTGAAATTTAAGTTGTTCTTTCTTTTAAGTTCTTTTTTGTTCTTTCTGAAATTTAAGTTCTTCTTTTTTGTTCTTTCTGAAATTTAAGTTCTTCTTTTTGTTCTTTCTAGAAATTTAAGTTGTTCTTCTTTTGTTCTTTTTTCCCATTTAAGTTTCTTTTTTGTTCTTTCTAAATTTAAGTTGTTTCTTCTTTTTGTTCTTTCTGAAATTTAAGTTGTTCTTCTTTTTCTTTCAATTTAAGTTCTTTTTTTTATTCTTTCTGAAATTTAAGTTCTTCTTTTGTTCTTTCTGAAGTTGTTCTTTTTGTTCTTTCTGAAATTTAAGTTGTTCTTCTTTTTTGTTCTTTCTGAAATTTAAGTTCTTCTTTTGTTCTTTTCTAGGAAATTTAAGTTGTTCTTCTTTTTTGTTCTTTCTGAAATTTAAGTTCTTCTTCTTTGTTTCTTTCTGAAATTTAAGTTGTTCTTCTTTTGTTCTTTCTGAATTTAAGTTCTTCTTTTTGTTCTTTCTGAAATTTAAGTTGTTCTTCTTTTTTCTTTCTGTTTAAGTTCTTCTTTTTGTTCTTTCTGAAATTTAAGTTGTTCTTCTTTTTGTTCTTTCTGAAATTTAAGTTTTCTTCTTTTTGTTCTTTCTGAAATTTAAGTTGTTCTTCTTTTTGTTCTTTCTGAAATTTAAGTTGTTCTTCTTTTTGTTCTTTCTGAAAATTTAAGTTTTCTTCTTTTTTTGTTCTTTCTGAAATTTAAGTTCTTCTTTTTTGTTCTTTCTGAAATTTAAATTCTTCTTTTTGTTCTTTCTGAAATTTAAGTTGTTCTTCTTTTGTTCTTTTCTGAAATTTAAGTTCTTCTTTTTTGTTCTTTCTGATTTAAGTTGTTCTTTTTTGTTCTTTCTGAAATTTAAGTTGTTCTTCTTTTGTTCTTTCTGAAATTTAAGTTGTTCTTCTTTTGTTCTTTCTGGAATTTAAGTTGTTCTTCTTTGTTCTTTCTGAAATTTAAGTTCTTCTTTTTTGTTCTTTCTGAATTTAAGTTGTTCTTCTTTTTTTGAAATTTAAGTTCTTCTTTTTTGTTCTTTCTGAAATTTAAGTTGTTCTTCTTTTTGTTCTTTCTGAAATTTAAGTTGTTCTTCTTTTTGTTCTTTCTGAAATTTAAGTTCTTCTTTTTGTTCTTTCTGAAATTTAAGTTGTTCTTCTTTTTGTTTTTTCCTGAAATTTGTTGTTCTTCTTTTTTTGTTCTTTCTGAAATTTAAGTTGTTCTTCTTTTGTTCTTCTGAAAAGTTCTTCTTTTTGTTTTCTGAAATTTAAGTTGTTCTTCTTTTTCTTTCTTTCTTGTTTAAGTTGTTCTTCTTTTTTGTTCTTTCTGAAATTTAAGTTCTTCTTTTTTTTTCTTTCTGAAATTTAAGTTCTTCTTTTTTGTTTCTTTCTGAAATTTAAGTTGTTCTTCTTTTTGTTCTTTCTGAAATTTAAGTTGTTCTTCTTTTTTGTTCTTTCTGAAATTTAAGTTGTTCTTTTGTTCTTTCACAAATTTAGTTCTTCTTTTGTTCTTTCTAAAATTGTTGTTCTTCTTTTTGTTCTTTCTGAAATTTGTTGTTCTTCTTTTTTTGTTCTTTCTGAAATTTAAGTTGTTCTTCTTTTGTTCTTTCTGGAATTTAAGTTGTTCTTTATTCTTTTGTTCTTTTTTTGTTCTTTCTGAAATTTAAGTTGTTCTTCTTTTTGTTCTTTCTGAAATTTGTTCTTCTTTTTTGTTCTTTCTGAAATTTTAAGTTGTTCTTCTTTTGTTCTTTCTGTTTAAGTTCTTCTTTTGTTTTTCTGAAATTTAAGTTGTTCTTCTTTTGTTCTTTCTTTTAAGTTGTTCTTCTTTTGTTCTTTTTTCTGAAATTTAAGTTCTTCTTTTTTGTTTAGTTGTTCTTTTTTTTGTTCTTTCTGAAATTTAAGTTCTTCTTTTGTTCTTTCTTTTGTTCTTCTTTTTGTTCTTTCTGAAATTTAAGTTGTTCTTCTTTGTTCTTTTCTGTTTAAGTTTCTTCTTTTGTTCTTTCTGAAATTTAAGTTGTTCTTCTTTTGTTCTTGTTTAAGTTCTTTTTTGTTCTTTCTGAAATTTGTTGTTCTTCTTTTTTTGTTGTTCTTTTCTGAAATTCAAGCTGTTCTTCTTTTTTGTTCTTTCTGAAATTTAGTTGTTCTTCTTTTTGTTCTTCGAATTTGAAGTTGTTCTTCTTTTTGCCTTTTCTCAAATTTGTTGTTCTTGTTCTTCTGAAATGGTTCTTCTTTTAATTTTCTGAAATCGTTGTTCTTCCTTTTGTTCCTTTTCTGAAATTTAGTTGTTTCTTTTATCTTTCTGAATGGGTTGTTCTTCTTTTGTTTTCTGAAATTCTGTTCTTTGTTCTTTCCTGAAATTTAAGGTTGTTTTTTTTTGTTTCTAGTTTGTTGTTCTTCTTTGTTCTTCCAAATTTGTTGTTCTTTGTTCTTCTGAATTTGTTGTTCTTCTTGTTCTTCTGAATTTGTTGTTTTTCTTTTTGTTCTTCTGAAATTTGTTGTTCTTTTTGTTCTTTTCTGAAATTTGGTTGTTCTCTTTTTGTTCTTTTCTGAAATTTAAGTTCTTCTCTTTTTGTTCTTTCTGAAATTTGTTGTTCTTTTCTTTTTGTCTCTCTTTTCTCCAGAAATTTAGTTGTTCTTCTTTTTTGTCTTTTCTTAAATTTGCTTTCTTTCTTTTTGTTCTTTCTGAAATTTGTTGTTCTTTTTTGTCTTTTCTAAATTTTAAGTTGTTCTTCTTTTTGTTTTCTTCACAAATTTAAGTTTGTTCTTCTTTTATTCTTCTGAATGGTTTAAATTTGTTCTTCTTTTTTGTTCTTTTGTTCTTTAAATTTGTTCTTCTTTTTATTTTTCAAATTTGTTGTTCTTCTTTTTTTGTTCTTTCTGAAATTTGTTTTCTTCTTTTTTGTTCTTTCTGAAATTTGTTCTTCTTTTGTTCTTTTTCTGAAATTTAAATTTGTTCTTCTTTTGTTCTTTTCCAACGAATTTATTCTTCTTTTTTTCTGAAACTTGTTGTTCTTCTTTGTTTCTTCTGAAATTTGTTGTTCTTATTTTGTTCTTTTTGAAATTTAAGTTCTTCTTTTTTTGTTCTTCTGAAATTCTGTTGTTCTTCTTTTTTTGTTCTTTCTGGTTCTAAGTTCTTCTTTTTGTTCCTTTTCTGAAATTTGTTGTTCTTCTTTTTTGTTCTTTCTCTCTTTCTGAATTTAAGTTGTTCTTTTTTTCTTTTCTGAAACTTGTCTTTCCACTCTCTTTATTCTTCTTTCGTTGTTATTCTTCTTTTGTTCTTTCTAGGAATTTAAGTTCTTCTTTTGTTCTTTCTGAAATTTGTTGTTCTTTTTTTGTTCTTTCTGAAATTTTAGTTCTTCTTTTTTGTTCTTTTCTGAAAATTAAGTTGTTCTTCTTTTGTTCTTTCTAGAAATTTAAGTTGTTCTTCTTTTTGTTCTTTCCTGAAATTTGTTGTTCTTCTTTTTTGTTCTTTCTGAAATTTAAGTTGTTCTTATTTTGTTCTTTCTGAAATTTAAGTTTCTTCTTTTGTTCTTTCTGGAAATTTAAGTTGTTCTTTCTTTTGTTCTTTCTGAAATTTAAGTTGTTCTTTTTTGTTCTTTCAAAAATTCTTTCTTCTTTTTTGTTCTTTCTGGAAATTTAAGTTGTTTTCTTTTTGTTCTTTTTTTAAGTTCTTCTTTTTGTTCTTTCTGAAATTTAAGTTGTTCTTCTTTTTTGTTCTTTCTGAAATTTAAGTTGTTCTTCTTTTTGTTCTTTTCTGAAATTTAAGTTCTTCTTTTGTTCTTTCTGGAAATTTAAGTTGTTCTTCTTTTGTTCTTTCTGAGTTAAGTTGTTCTTCTTTTTTGTTCTTCTGAAATTTAAAGTTGTTCTTCTTTTTGTTCTTTCCTGAAATTAAGTTCTTCTTTTGTTCTTTCTTCTTCTTTTGTTCTTTCTGAAATTTAAGTTGTTCTTCTTTTTTATTTCTTTCTGAAATTTAAGTTGTTCTTTTTGTTCTTTCTGAAATTTAAGGTTTGTTCTTCTTTTTGTTCTTTTGAAATTTAAGTTGTTCTTCTTTTTGTTCTTTCTAAATTTGCCCTTCTTTTGTTTCTTTCTGAATTAAGTTCTTTCTTTTTTGTTCTTTCTGAAATTGTTGTTTCTTCTTTTTGTTTCTTTCTGAAATTTGTTGTTCTTCTTTTTTTGTTCTTTTCTGAAATTTGTTGTTTCTTCTTTTGTTCTTTTCTGAAATTTGTTCTTCTTGTTCTTTCAATTTGTTGTTCTTCTTTTTGTTACTTTCTGAAATTTAAGTTTGTTCTTCTTTTTTGTTCTTTTCCTGAAATTTAAATTTGTTCTTCTTTTTTGTTCTTTCTAAAATTTTTGTTCTTTCTTTTGTTCTCTAGAACTTGCTGTTCTTCTTTTTGTTCTTCCTGAATGGTAAGTTCTTTCTTCTTTTGTTTTCTGAAATTTAAGTTCTTCTTTTTGTTCTTTTCTGAAATTTAAGTTGTTTCTTGCTTTGTTTTTCTGGAATTTTTCTTTTGTTCTTCTTTTGTTGTTCTTTTTTTGTTCTAAATTTGTTGTTCTTTGTTCTTCTTTTGTTCTTTCTTTGTTTTCAATTGTTCTTCTTTTTTTTTCTTTCTGAAATTTAAGTTCTTTTCTTCTTTTTTGTTCTTTCTGAAATTTGTTTCTTCTTTTGTTCTTTCTGAAATTTAAATTTATTTCTTCTTTTTGTTCTTCCTGAAATTTAGGTTATTTCTTCTTTTTATTTTCTTTCTGAAATTTAAGTTCTTTTTATTTCTTTCTAGATTTAAGTTATTTCTTCTTTTTGTTCTTTCTAAATTTAAGTTGTTCTTCTTTTGATTATTTTTCATTCAGTATTGGCCATGTCTTATTTTATAAAAACTTTGGATACTGGATTCTAAAATAATCCAGGATGAAGGTTTTAATGATTCTTTTGAGTTTAAAAAAACTTTTGTTTCTTTCTTTTAAGTTGTTCTTTTTGTTCTTTCTGAGTTGTTCTTCTTTTTTTCTTTCTTTCTGGTTGTTCTTCTTTTGTTCTTTCTGAAATTTAAGTTCTTCTTTTTGTTCTTTTCTGAAATTTAAGTTGTTGTTCTTCTTTTGTTCTTTTCTGAAATTTAAGTTGTTCTTCTTTTTTGTTCTTTCAAATTTAAGTTCTTCTTTTTGTTCTTTTCTGAAATTTTAGTTGTTCTTCTTTTTGTTCTTTCTGAAATTTAAGTTCTTCTTTTTTGTTCTTTTCTGAAATTTAAGTTGTTCTTTTTTTTCTTTCTTTCTGAAATTTAAGTTGTTCTTCTTTTTTCTTTTCTGAAATTTAAGTTTTCTTCTTTTGTTCTTTCTGATTTAAGTTCTTCTTTTTGTGTTCTTTCCCAAATTTAAGTTATTCTTCTTTTATTCTTTCCAGAATTTAGTTATTCTTCTTTTTGTTCTTTCTGAAATTTAAGTTTGTTCTTCTTTTTGTTCTTTCAAATTCAAGTTGTTCTTCTTTTGTTCTTTTCTGGAGAATTTAAGTTTGTTCTTCTTTTTGTTCTTCTGGAATTTAAGTTGTTCTTCTTTTTGTTCTTCAATTTAAGTTCTTCTTTTATTTCTTCTATTTCAAATTAATCTTCTTTAAAATTCTTTTCTTTTCTAATACAATTTAAATTTATTTCTTCTTTTTCCCACAAAATTTAGCTTTAAGGCAAAATTTTTTTTAAAAAATTGAAAAAAGAATATTCCGTTTCTGGGGTTAAGTTGTTTCTTCTTTTATTCTTGCTCAATTTTAAATTGACATTTGCCTCTTTTTTATCCCAAGAAAAAAACCACTAAGATGGGGTTAATTTTGCAAAAGAATATAAATTTAAAAGGACTTTGTTGAAAAGGATTTTGGAGTTCCACCCATAGGGAGAGATTAATGATTCTTCTTCTTTTTGTAAATTCTTTTTGGTTCTGGGTGGTCTCACCACACTACACCAAACTTGTTTAGTGTCCTATCATAAAGGAGCTTCTTTTGTTCTTTCTGATTAAAATAAAGCCATTGCATCTTCTTTTGTTATTATAATTTGAAATAATTTAAATTGTTTCTTCTTATTTTTTAAATAATTTTAAACAAATTAGAGCAAGAAATAGAATTTAAAAAATTGTTCTTTTTTCTTTTTTGTTCTTGTTTCAAGAAATAATATATTTGAATTCTTTTTTTTGATTTTCTTTTCCTGGAATTTAAGTTCTTCTTTTGTTCTTTCCTGAAATTGATTCTTCTTTTGTTCTTTCTGAAATTTCAGTTGTTCTTCTTTTATTTCTTCTAAAATTTAAGTTTGTTCTTTTTGTTCTTTTCTGAAATTTTAATTGTTCTTCTTTTGTTCTTTCTGAAATTTAAGTTGTTCTTCTTTTGTTCTTTCTAGAATTTAAGTTGTTCTTCTTTGTTCTTTCTAGAATTTAAGTTATTTCTTCTTTTTTTTAATTTCTTTCTAGAATTTAAATTTGTTCTTCTTTTGTTCTTTCCGAAATTTAAGTTGTTCTTCTTTTTGTTCTTTCTAAGAATTTAAGTTGTTCTTCTTTTTTGTTCTTCTAATTTAAGTTGTTCTTCTTTTGTTTCTTTCTAAATTTGATTCTTCTTTTTATTCTTTCTAAATTTAAGTTGTTCTTCTTTTGTTCTCTGAAATTTACGTTGTTCTTCTTTTTATTCTTTCCTGAAATTTAAGTTGTTCTTCTTTTGTTCTTTCTAAATTTAAGTTGTTCTTCTTTTTTCTTCTTTGTCTTTCTGAAATTTAAGTTCTTCTTTTTGTTCTTTTAAATTTAAGTTGTTCTTTTTTTTGTTCTTTCTGAAATTTAAGTTATTTCTTCTTTTTGTTTCTTTCTTGAAATTTAAGTTGTTCTTTCTTTTTGTTCTTTTTGAAATTTGCCTGTTCTTTTTTGTTCTCTGTTCTTTAAGTTGTTCTTCTTTTTGTTCTTTCTGAAATTTAAGTTGTTCTTCTTTTTTTTCTTTCTGAAATTCTGTTGTTCTTCTTTTTTTTCTTTTCTGAAATTTAAGTTCTTCTTTTTTGTTTCTTTCTGAAATTTAAGTTGTTTTTTCTTTTTGTTCTTTCCTGAAATTTGTTGTTCTTTTTTTGTTTTTCTGAAATTTAAGTTCTTCTTCTTTTGTTCTTTCTGAAATTTAAATTGTTTCTTCTTTTTGTTCTTTCCTGAAATTTAAGTTTGTTCTTTTTTGTTGTTCTTTCCTGAAATTTGCTTGTTCTTTTTTTTATTCTTTCTAAAAATTTGTTGTTCTTCTTTTTATTTCTTTTCTGAAATTTAAGTTGTTCTTTTTTTGTTCTTTCTGAAATTTGTTGTTCTTTTTTTTTCTTTCTGAATTTAAGTTGTTCTTCTTTTTTGTTCTTTCTGAAATTTAAGTTCTTCTTCTTTTAATTTCTTTCTGAAATTTAAGTTGTTCTTCTTTTTTTTATTCTTTTTCTGAAATTTAAGTTCTTCTTTTTTGTTCTTTCTAAATTTAAGTTTGTTCTTCTTTTTTGTTCTTTCTAAAATTTAAGTTTGTTCTTCTTTTGTTCTTCTGAAATTTGTTGTTCTTCTTTTTGTTCTTTCTGAAATTTTAAGTTGTTCTTCTTTTTGTTCTTTCTGAAATTTAAGTTGTTCTTTTCTTTTTTGTTCTTTTCCTTTGTTCTTTTCTGAAATTTGTTGTTCTTCTTTTGTTCTTTCTGAAATTTAAGTTGTTCTTCTTTGTTCTTTTCTTTTAAGTTGTTCTTTTTGTTCTTTTCTGAAATTTAAGTTCTTCTTTTTTGTTCTTTCTGAATTTAAGTTGTTCTTTTCTTTTGTTCTTTTTGTTCTTTCTGAAATTTAAATTTATTTGTTCTTTTTGTTCTTTCTTTTTTTTAAGTTGTTCTTCTTTTTGTTCTTTTCTGAAATTTGTTCTTCTTTTTTGTTCTTTCTGAAATTTAAGTTCTTCTTTTTTGTTCTTTTCTAAATTTAAATTTGTTCTTCTTTTTTTCTTTTTCTGAAATTTAAGTTCTTCTTTTTGTTCTTTCTGAAATTTAAGTTGTTTCTTCTTTTTGTTCTTTCTGAAATTTAAGTTCTTCTTTTTATTTCTTTCTGAAATTTGCTGTTCTTCTTCTTTTGTTTTTCTGAAATTTAAGTTTAATTTTGTTCTTTTTCTGAAATTTTTGTTCTTTTTTTTGTTCTTTCTGAAATTTGTTCTCTTCTTTTGTTCTTTTGAAATTTGTTGTTCTTCTTTTTGTTCTTCTTTTGTTGTTCTTTTCTTTCTGAAATTTAAGTTCTTCTTTTTTTGTTCTTTCTGAAATTTAAGTTGTTCTTTTTTTTCTTTCTGAAATTTGTTGTTCTTCTTTTGTTCTTTCTGAAATTTAAGTTGTTCTTCTTTTTGTTCTTTTGAAATTTGTTGTTCTTCTTTTGTTCTTTCTGAAATTTAAGTTGTTCTTCTTTTGTTCTTTCTGAATTTAATTGTTTCTTCTTTTGTTCTTTCCATTTAAATTTGTTTCTTTTTTGTTCTTTCTGAAATTTAAGTTGTTCTTTTTTTGTTCTTTCTGAAATTTGTTGTTCTTCTTTTTGTTCTTTCTGAAATTTAGTTGTTCTTCTTTTGTTCTTTCTGAAATTTGTTGTTCTTTCTTTTTCTTTCTGAAATTTAAGTTGTTTCTTCTTTTTGTTCTTTCTGAAATTTAAGTTGTTCTTCTTTTGTTCTTTCCTGAAATTTGTTGTTCTTCTTTTATTCTTTCTGAAATTTAAGTTCTTATTTTTTTGTTCTTTCTGAAATTTGTTGTTCTTTTTTTTGTTCTTTTCTGAAATTTAAGTTGTTCTTCTTTTTGTTCTTTCTGAAATTTGTTTTCTTCTTTTGTTCTTTCTGAAATTTCAGTTCTTCTTTTGTTCTTTTTCTGAAATTTGTTGTTTCTTCTTTTTCTTTCTGAAATTTAAGTTCTTCTTTGTTCTTTCTTTTTGTTGTTTCTTTGTTCTTTAAAATTTGTTGTTCTTCTTTTTGTTCTTTCTGAAATTTAAGTTGTTTCTTCTTTTTGTTCTTTTCTGAAATTTAAGTTGTTCTTCTTTTTGTTCTTTTCTGAAATTTGTTGTTCTTCTTTTTATTCTTTCTGAAATTTAGTTCTTCTTTTTGTTCTTTCTGAAATTTTAAGTTATTCTTCTTTTTGTTTCTTTTCTGAAATTTAAGTTGTTCTTCTTTTGTTCTTTCTTGAAATTTGTTGTTCTTCTTTGTTCTTTCTGAATTTGTTGTTCTTCTTTTTGTTCTTCTTTTTGTTCTTCTCTTTGTTCTTCTGAAATTTGTTTCTTCTTTTTTTTGTTTTCTGAAATTTAAGTTGTTCTTCTTTTGTTCTTTTCTGAAATTTAAGTTGTTCTTTTTTTGTTCTTTCTGAAATTTAAGTTGTTCTTCTTTTGTTCTTTCCTGAAATTTAAGTTCTTCTTTTTTGTTTTCTGAATTTTTTGTTGTTCTTTTTTCCTCTTTCTGAAATTTAAGTTGTTCTTCTTTTTGTTCTTTCTGAATTTAAGTTCTTCTTTTTTGTTCTTTCTATGAAATTTAAGTTGTTCTTCTTTTTGTTCTTTTTCCAAATTTGTTGTTCTTTTTTGTTCTTTCTGAATTTGTTGTTCTTTCTTTTTTTCTGAAATTTAAGTTGTTCTTCTTTTTGTTCTTTCTGAAATTTAGTTCTTCTTTTTGTTCTTTCTGAAATTTAAGTTGTTTTCTTTTTGTTTTTCTGAAATTTCAGTTCTTCTTTTGTTCTTTCTGAAATTTGTTGTTCTTCTTTTTTGTTCTTTTCCGAAATTTAAGTTGTTCTTCTTTTTGTTCTTTCTATGAAATTTAAGTTGTTCTTCTTTTTGTTCTTTCTGAAATTTAAGTTGTTCTTCTTTTGTTCTTTCTGAAATTTAAGTTGTTCTTCTTTTTTGTTCTTTTTTCTGAAATTAAGTTGTTCTTCTTTTGTTCTTTTTCTGAAATTTAAGTTGTTCTTTTTTTTTGTTCTTTCTGAAATTTGTTCTTCTTTTTTGTTCTTTCTGAAATTTGTTGTTCTTCTTCTTTTGTTCTCTGAAATTTAAGTTCTTCTTTTGAACGGTTTTCTTAAATTTAAATTTTCTTCTTCTTTTGTTCTTTCTGAAATTTAAGTTGTTCTTTTTTTGTTTTTCTGAAATTTGTTGTTCTTCTTTTGTTCTTTCTGAAATTTAAGTTCTTTTTTTTGTTCTCTGAAATTTGTTGTTCTTCTTTTTTTCTTTTCTGAAATTTTGTTGTTTCTTTGTTCTTTTCTGAATTTTAAGTTCTTCTTTTGTTCTTTCTGAAATTTAAGTTGTTCTTCTTTTGTTCTTTCTGAAAATTTGTCTTAAATTTGTTGTTGTTCTTCTTTTTGTTCTTTTTCTGAAATTTGTTGTTCTTCTTTTGTTCTTTCTGAAATTTGTTGTTCTTCTTTTTGTTCTTTCTGAAATTTAAGTTTCTTCTTTTTTGTTCTTTTTTGTCTTTTAAGTTTGTTCTTCTTTTTTGTTCTTTTCTGAAATTTGTTGTTCTTTTTTTTGTTCTTCTGAAATTTGTTCTTTTTTGTTCTTTTGAAATTGTTCTTCTTTTTTGTTCTTTCTGAAATTTAAGTTCTTCTTTTGTTCTTTCTGAAATTGTTGTTCTTCTTCTTTTTTGTTCTTTCTGAAATTTAAGTTCTTCTTTGTTCTTCTTTTTTGTTCTTCTTTTTGTTCTTTCTGAAATTTGTTCTTCTTTTTGTTCTTTCTGAAATTTAAGTTGTTCTTCTTTTTTTTCTTTCTGAAATTTTGTTGTTCTTTTTTGTTCTTTCTGAATTTGTTGTTAAGTTCTTCTTTTTGTTCTTTTTGAAATTTGTTGTTCTTCTTTTTCTTTTTTCAATTTAAGTTCTTCTTTTTTGTTCTTTTCTGAATTTTGTTGTTCTTCTTTTGTTCTTTCTAAAATTTGTTGTTCTTCTTTTTGTTCTTTCTGAAATTTAAGTTTTTTGTTCTTCTTTTGTTGTTTCTTTTTTGTTCTTTTCTGAAATTTTGTTTTCTTTCTTCTTTTTTGTTCTTTCTGTTCTTTAAATTTCTTCTTTTTTGTTCTTTTCTGAAATTTAAGTTCTTCTTCTTTTGTTCTTTTCTGAGAAATTTAGTTGTTCTTCTTTTGTTCTTTTTAGAAATTTAAGTTCTTCTTTTTGTTCTTTCTGAAATTTGTTGTTCTTCTTTTTATTCTTTCTGAAATTTAAGTTGTTCTTCTTTTTGTTCTTCTGAAATTTAAATTTGTTCTTCTTTTGTTCTTTCTGAACTTGTTGTTCTTCTTTTTTTGTTCTTCTGAAATTTAAGTTCTTTGTTTTTTTCTTTCTGAAATTTGTTGTTCTTCTTTTTTGTTCTTTTCTGGAATTTGTTGTTCTTCTTTGTTCTTTTCTGAAATTTGTTGTTCTTCTTTTTGTTCTTTTCTGAAATTTCAGTTGTTCTTTTTTGTTCTTTCCTGAAATTTTTCTTTTTTATTCTTCTTTTGTTGTTCTTTTTTGTTCTTTCTGAATGAAGTTCTTCTTTGTTCTTCTTTTTTGTTCTTTGTTTTTTTGTTTAAGTTGAAATTTCTTTTTTTTTTGTTTTTTGTTGAAAATTTTGTTCTTCTTTTTTTGTTTCTGAAATTTAAGTTGTTTTTCTTTTTGTTCTTTCTGAAATTTAAGTTCTTCTTTTTTTGTTCTTTTCTGAAATTTGTTCTTCTTTTGTTCTTTTCTGAAATTTAAGTTCTTCTTTTTTTTCCTTTTGAAATTTGTTGTTCTCTTTTTCTTTTCTGAAATTTAAGTTGTTCTTTTTTTTGTTCTTTCTGAAATTTAAGTTGTTCTTCTTTTTGTTCTTTCTGAAATTTGTTGTTCTTTTTTTTGTTCTTTTCTGAAATGTTCTTCTTTTTTGTTCTTTCTGAAATTTTGTTGTTCTTCTTTTGTTCTTTCTGAAATTTAAGTTGTTCTTTTGTTCTTTCTTTTTTGTTCTTTCTTTTGTTCTTTCTGAAAATTTAGTTCTTCTTTTGTTCTTTCTGAAATTTGTTGTTCTTCTTTTTGTTCTTTCTGAAATTTGTTGTTCTTCTTTTTGTTCTCTGAAATTTAAGTTTTCTTTGTTCTTTCTGAAATTTTGTTCTTTGTTCTTCTGAAATTTGTTGTTCTTCTTGTTCTTTCTGAAATTTAAGTTGTTCTTTTTTGTTCTTTCTTTTTGTTTTCTGAAACTTGTTCTTCTTTTGTTCTTTCTGAAATTTAAGTTCTTCACTTTGTTCTTTCTGAAATTTGTTGTTCTTCTTTTTGTTCTTTTGAAATTTGTTGTTCTTCTTTGTTCTTCTGAAATTTAAGTTGTTTTTTTGTTCTTTTTCTGAAATTTAAGTTCTTTCTTTTTGTTCTTTTCTATGAAATTTAAGTTGTTCTTCTTTTTTGTTCTTTCTGAAATTTAAGTTGTTCTTTTTTTTTTGTTTTTTCTTTTCTTTTTTTGTTTTCTTTTGTTCTTTCTTTCTTTCTTCTTATTTTCTTTTTCTTTCATTTTTTTTTCTTTCTTTTAAATTTCTTCTTTTCTTTGTTTTATTTTTTTCCTTCTATTTTCTTCGTTTTTCTGTTTTTTTAAGTTTTCCTTCTTTTTTATTCTTTTTTTTGAATTTTAATCTTTCTCTTTTCATTTTTTTTTTTCTTTCTTATTAAATAAACACAATCTTATTCTTTCTTTTTCTTTCATTCATCCACTGAAATTTTCTTATGTTCATTTTTTTTTTTCTTTTTCTGAAATTTCCAGTTGTTCATTCATTTTTTTGTTCTTTTGACAATTCCATTCTTTCATTCTTTTTTCATTCATTCATTCATTCATTCTCTCTTAAGTACTCATAACACAATCCCATTCTTTCATTCTGTTTTCATTCATTTTTCATTTTCGTTCTTTTTGTTCTATCTTAAATTCTAAACACAATCCTTTTCTTTCATTATTTATTTATTTATTTACGTGCTCACAAACAAATGCTCTTTCTTTCTCTCTTTCTTTCTTTCATTATTTATTTATTTATGTGCTCACAAACAAATGCCCTTTCTTTGTTCTTTCTTTCAATTTATTTATTACGTGCTTCATTGCCCTTTCTTTCTCTTCTCTCTCTCTCTTTCTTTCTTTATTTGTTTATTTATTTATTTGTTTACGTTCTTCTTTTTGTTCTTTCTCTTTCTTTTTTCATTATTTATTTATTTACTTCTTTGTGTTTCTTTCTTTTCTTCTTTTTTGAAATTTATTTATTTTTTTTTTTTTACGTTCTAAAGAAATTTAAGTTCTTTCTTCTTTTGTTCTTTCCTGAAATTTGTTGTTTTTCTTTTTTCTCTTCTTTCTTTCATTTTTTATTTATTTATTTATTTGTTCTTTTGAAATCTTTCTTTCTCTCTTTCTTTCATTCATTATTTATTTATTTATTTGTGTTCTTCTCAACCTTTCTTTATTCAAATTCTTTCTTCTTTTGTTTCTTTCTGAAATTTTTGTTCTTTTTTTTCTTTGTTCTTTCTTCTGTGAAATTTTTGTTCTTTCTTTTGTTTTTTTTTTTTCTTTCTTTCTTCTTTTGTTCTTTCTGAAATTTAAAGTTCTTTCTTTCTTCTTTTTTTCTTTTTTCTTTCTTTCATTTTGTTCTTCTTTTGTTCACCAACATTCACTTTCTTTTATTTATTTTTTTTTTTTTTGTTTCTTTTTTTCTTTCATTTGTTCATTCTTCTTTTTTTCTTTCTGAAATTTCTTTGTTCTTCTTTTTTCTTCTTTCAATTTTTTTTTTTTCTTTTTTTTCTTTCTTTGTCAAAATTTGTTTTCTTCTTTTTTCTAAAAATTTAAGTACTTTCTTTCTTTCTTTTTCTTTCTTTCTTTTCTTTTCTTTCTTTTCTTTCAAATTTTTATTGTTTGTTTCTTTTTTTTTTTTCTTCCCTCTTAAATTCCTTTCTTTTTTTTTTTTTCTTCATAAATTTAAAACACTTTCTTTCTTTCTTTCTTCCTTTTTTCTTTCTTTATTTTCTTTCTTTCTTTTTTTTCTTCTTTCTTCAAATTTAATTTATTTCTGATGTATTCTTTCTTTCTTTTCTTTCTTTCTTTCTTTTTTCTTTCTTTCTTTCTTTTTTTCTTTCTTTTTTAAAAACACAAAGCGTTTCTTATTCTTTTTTTCTTTTGATTTTGTTTTTTTCCTTTCTTGTTCTTTCTTTCTTTTCTTTTTCTTTGAAACAAAATTTGTTCTTTATTTTGTTCTTTCTTTTTTTTTGTTTTTTCTTTTTTCTCTCTCAAAATTGTTCTTTGTTTCTTTTCTTTTTTTTCTTTTTTCTTCTTTTTTTGTTCTTTCTTTCTTCCTTTCTTTCTTTTTCTTTCTTTTTTCTTTTCTTTTTTCTTTCTTTCTTTCTTTTCTTTTGTTCTTCTTTTTTGTTTCTTTCTTTCTTTCTTTCGTTCTTTTTGTTTTGTTCTTTCTTTCTTTCTTTTGTTCTTTCTTTTGTTTCTTTCTTTTGAAATTTGTTGTTTTCTTTTTGTTTGTTTTTCTTTCTTTCTTTAAGTTCTTCTTTCTTTTTAAAATTTCTTTCTTTCACTGTCTTTTTTTTGTTCTTTTTTCTGAAATTTCTTTCTTCTTCTTTTTTCTTCTTTCTTTCTTTCTTTCTTTCGATTTCTTCTTTTGTTCTTTTATAAATTTCTTTTCTTTCTTTTCTTCTTTTCTTTTGTTTCTTTCTTTCTTTTGTTCTTTCTTTCTTTTTTCTTTTCTTTCTTTCTTTCTTTTGTTTCTTTCTTTCTTCTTTTTTTCTTTTCTTTAATTTAATTTGTTTTCTTTTTGTTCTTTCTTTTGTTCTTTCTTTCTTTTCTTGTTCTTTCTTTCTTTCTTTCTTTTCTTTCTTTCTTTCTTCTTTTTTTGTTTTTCTTTTGTTTTCTTTCTTTTTTCTTTCTTTCTTTCTTTTCTTTCTTTTGCTTTCTTTCTTTCTTCTTTTTTATAATTCCTTCTTTTCACTTTCTTTTTTGAAATTTCTTTTCGTTCTTTCTTTTTTTCTTCTTTCTTTTTTTAAGTTGTTCTTCTTTTTTTTCTCTTTCTCCACTTTTTTTGTTCTTTCTTTCTTTTTTCTTTCTTTTCTTTTTTCTCTTTCTTTTTTTCGTTCTTTCTTTTTGTTCTTTCTTCTCTTTTTTTGTTCTTTCTTTTTTTCTTTCTTTCTTTCTTTTGTTCTTTCTTTTTTCTCTTTCTTTTCTTTCTTTTCTTTCTTTTTTTTGTCTTTTCTTTCTTTTTTCTTTTTGTTCTTTCTTTCTTTCTTTCTTTCTTTCTTTTTTTTTCTCTTTCTTTCTTTCTTCTCTTTTTTGTTCTTTCTTTTTAAGTTCTTTTTTTTGTTCTTTCTTTCTTTCTTTCTTTCTTTCTTTTTTCTTTTGTTCTTTCTTCTTTTCTTTAAACTCTTTTCTTTCTTTTTTTCTTTCTTTCTTTCGTTCTTTCTTTTTTTTCTTTCTTTTCTTCTTTGTTTTCTTTTTTTGTTCTTTCTGAAATTTGTTGTTTTGTTTTTATTTCTTTCTTTCTTTGATTTATTTCTTTCTTTCATTCTTTTTTTTCTTTCTTTTCTTCTTCTTTTTTGTCTTTTGTAATTTAAGTTGTTCTTTTTTGTTCTTTCTTTCTTTCTGCTTTCTTTCGTTCTTTCTTTCTTTTTTCTTTCTTCTCTTTTGTAAATTTAAATTTATTTCTTCTTTTCTTTTTCTTTCTTTTTTCTTTTCTTTCTTTCTTCTTTCTTTTTCTTTCTTTCTGAAATTTAAGTTGTTCTTTTGTTCTTTCTTCTTTTGTTCTTTCTTTCTTTTTTCTTTTTCTTTCTTTAGAGTTTTCTTCTTTCGTTTCTTTCTTTCTTTTCTTGTTCTTCTTTTGTTCTTTCCTGAAATTTGTTGTTCTTCTTTTTGTTCTTTTTATGAATTAAATTGTTCTTTCTTTTTTTCTTTTTCTTTCGTTCTTTTTTTTGTTTCTTTCTTCTTTTATTCTTTCTTTGTCAATCACTTTCTTTTTGTTCTTTCTTTTGTTCTTTCTTTTAAGTTTTTCTTTCTTTGTTCTTTCTTTCTTTAAGTTCTTTTTTTCTTTCTTTTTTTGTTCTTTTTTGTTTTTTTAAATTTCTTCTTCTTTTTGTTCTTTTCTTCAATTTAAGTTCTTCTTTCTTTCTTTTCTTTTTCTTTTTTTGTTCTTTAAGTTCTTCCACTTCTTTTTTGTTTTTCTGAAATTTAATTGTTTCAGCATTTGTTCTGAAATTTAAGTTGTTCTTTCTTTTTTTCTTTTTCTTCTTTCTGAAATTTAAGTTTTTTTTCTCTTTTGTTCTTTTCTTTTTTTAAGTTCTTTCTTTGTTCTTTTTTTTTTTTTTCTTTTTAAAATTTAAGTTCTTTCTTTTTGTTCTTTTCTTAAATTTGTTGTTATTTCTTTTTTGTTTTTTTTTCTTTCTTCTTAGTTTTCTTTTTGTTCTTTGAAAAATTTAATTGTTCTTTTTTTTGTTCTTTCTTTCTTTTTAAGTTTCTTCTTTTGTTCTTTTCTTTCTAAATTTAAGTTTTTCTTCTTTTTCGTTCTTTTGTTTAAGTTCTTCTTTTTTTGTTCTTTCTTTTCTTTGTTGTTCTTCTTTTGTTCTTTCTGAAATTTATTTTTCTTCTTTTTTAGTCATCTAAACCACACGCAGGTTCTTTTTGTTCTTCTGAAATTTAAAAAATCTTCTTTGTTCTTTCTGAAATTTGTTGTTCTTCTTTTTGTTCTTTCTGAAATTTAAGTTGTTCTTCTTTTGTTTCTCTGAAATTTAAGTTCTTCTTTTTTGTTCTTTCTGAAATTTGTTGTTCTTTTTTTGTTCTTTCTGAAATTTGTTGTTCTTCTTTTGTTCTTTCTGAAATTTAAGTTGTTCTTCTTTTTGTTCTTTCTGAATTTGAAATTTTTGTTCTTTGAAATTTAAGTTCTTTTTTTGTTTTTCTGAAATTTAAGTTGTTCTTTTTTGGTGCTAGGATTGAAATTTGTTGTTCTTCTTTTTGTTCTTTCTGAAATTTGTTGTTCTTCTTTGTTCTTTTCTGAAATTTTTCCCCATTCTTTTCTTTTTTTGTTCTTGTGCCAATTTGTTGTTCTTTCTTTTGTTCTTTCTGAAATTTGTTCTTCTTTTGTTCTTTCTTTTTAATTTAAGTTTTTTCTTTTTTTCTTTTCTGAAATTTAAGTTGTTCTTTTCTTTTTTTCTTTTTTCCTTGTTCTTTCTTTTCTTTCTTAAGTTGTTCTTTTTCTTTTTGTTTCTTTTTCTGAAATTTTGTTGTTCTTTTTTTTGTTCTTTTCTGCAATTTGTTGTTCTTTTCTTTTCTGAAATTTAAGTTCTTTTCTTTTTGTTCTTTCTGAAATTTTGTTGTTCTTCTTTTTAATTCTTTTTGAAATTTAAGTTCTTCTTTTGTTCTTTCACCTTTCTTCTCCTTTTGTTGTTCTTCTTTTTTTGTTCTTTCTGAAATTTAAGTTCTTCTTTTTTGTTTTTTCTGCAATTTTGTTGTTCTTTTTTTAGTTTCTTTTATTATCTTTTCGTTTCTTTTTTGTTCTTTTGTTTTTTCTGAAATTTAAGTTTTTTTTTGTTCTTTCTGAAATTTGTTGTTCTTTCTTTGTTCTTCTGAAATTGTTCTTCTTTTGTTCTTTCTGAAATTTTGTTGTTCTTTTTTTGTTCTTTCTGAAATTTGTTGTTCTTCTTTTTTGTTCTTTTCTGAAATTTAAGTTCTTTTTTTGTTCTTTTTTTTGTTGTTCTTTTTTGTTCTTTTCTGAAATTTGTTGTTCTTTTTTGTTCTTTCTTTCTGAAATTCTGTTGTTCTTTCTTTTGTTCTTTCTTGAAATTTGTTGTTCTTTTTTTTGTTCTTTTCTGAAATTTAAGGTTGTTCTTTTTTTTGTTCTTTCTGAAATTTGTTTCTTCTTTTTGTTCTTTCTCTGAAATTTGTTGTTCTTTTTTTGTTCTTTT